CCCCCCCCGTCTCCTACCTACTAGCCTCATCCCGCCTCCTTGACCTGTCCATCCTCCCTGGACCAACCTATCCCCTCCCTAACTCTCCACCTGCACTCACCTTTACTGGCTCCAACCCCACCTCCTTGACCCTGTCTGTCTCCTCTCCACCTATCTTCTCCTTTATCCATCTTCTATCTGCCTCCCCCTTTCACCCTATTTATTTCAGAATCCCCTTCCCCTCCCCCATTTCTGAAGAAGGGTCCAGTCCTGATTTCATCTGGATGCCTTCCCAACAGATTAAGGGATATTTGTGGCCCATAATTTGTTATGTCAATCACTGGATTGAAGACAATCACTTGCTGGAAGACTCTGTTGAATAGGTCTACAGTTTTATTTCTTTGCCTTCCCACACAGAAATGGCAGTCCTGCTTGACTAGAAGGAGAAAATGACCTTATTCAATACTGAATTTTTAAATAATCGTTAAATTGTACAAACATCAAGCTGTTCATCTGAATGGGCATAAGTGCTCCTCCGCCAATAAGCATGAAGCTGGAAAAGCACAGCAGATCAGACAGCATCCGAGAAGCAGAAAAGTCAACGTTTTGGGCCGAAACCTTCCTGACAAAGGATTTCAGCCCAAAATGTTGACTTTCCTGCTCCACGGATACTGTCTGATCTGCTGTGCTTTTCCAGCTTCGTATCTATTGACTCTGGCTTCCAGCATCTGCAGTCCTTACTGTCTCTAAGTGCTCCTCTGCCTTCGATGCCCTTATTACTTACAAATCACTGCAATTCAAGATGATCTAGAATAAAGTTAACAAAAAGTCTTAACTATATGCAATGACAAGTAGAAATTTTAAACCAATTTCAAAACAAACCTTTAAAATTTGGCGGATCTCTTTTCTTTATCTAAGGAGTGGTAAGAATGCGTACTTCACTGACTTGAGGAGAAGCTGTAGTACACAAGATGGTTGCATTTTAAAAGGGGAACCTAGTGTAACGGAACCTCCAGTGGCAGATGACAATCGTGAGGGAGGGTGCCCAGCAGGGAAGCTTATCGGTTAGAGAGGGCAGCTGTGGATTTGAAAGAACCCTCTCTGGAAGGCTCTATCTTTGCAGGGAGGATGGCTAATGGAAAGAAAGAGCAGAGAGAAAGGATTTCTCAACTCAATGTCAACCAGAGGTTTCATTCCACATATGTACTGTAAATACTTACCTTTTTCCATTTTGAATTCTCTTCATTGTAATATCCTGAAAGTGCAAAACAAAAAATCGTCGTTTCATAATTTTGGGCCTTCCAAGTGCTTGTTAAATTTCTGGTGTACTCAGCAAGATTCCACAGTCTGCTCCCGTTTCCTCCCACGGTCCAATGATGTGCAGGATAGGTGGATTGACCATGCTAAATTGCCTGGTAGTGTCCAGGGATATTCAGGTTAGGTGGTAAACATGAAATAGGAATAGGGTGGGGCTGGGTCTGGGTGGGATGCTGTTTGTAGGATTGGTGCAGACTCAATGGGCCAAATGGTCTCTTTCCGCACTGTAGAAATTCTACGATTTTATGCTCAATAGTTATAGGAAATAGTGGTGTAAATCTCCACTGGAAAGAGGCAGGCTACTATTCTCATATTATGCACCTATGTCATATTTGGCAAGATTTGGCAAACTACCCCACCACCAAGAGATAGACTTTCTGCTAATTTGCCATGGTTTTTCCAGTGTAATTTTTAAATATCAACTTAGTGCAAAAAAATTGTTAAATTTCAAGCACAGGTTAAGTTTTACACCAATCAAGTTTCTATAATCCAATGGGCTAGCTTAAAAAGCAACTCTGCCCCTAACAATGGTCAAGTTAAGGCCTTCAGACTAAATTAATTAGCATGGCAAGTTTCCATTACTTGCACTTGCATGTGAGTCTTCAACAGAATTTTAAAAATTAAGCTATTCTTTTAGACATTAAATGGGCAAAGTTAAAAACATTTTAAATAATTTGTAAAGAATATTTAGTTTAGTAAGAAACTGGCAAATGTACACTAATACAAATTGTGAGCCAGCTTTATGAGCCAGCCCAGCTCAGTTCATAGCACTTTTGCCTTTGAGAGGGAAGTCATAACCTACTCTAGGACCTGAGCACAAACAATCAAGGCTGACATTCAAGTACACATATTGAGTGAATACTGCACTGTCAGAGGTGCCATCTTTTGGATGAGATTTTAAACCAAAGCCCAGTCTACCCAGTCAGGTGTTTGGAAAGAAACTCAATCTGTGGCACTATTTCAAAGAGCAGGGGAACTATCTCTGGTGTCCTGTATAATATTAACCCCTCAAAACAGTACCACAGAAATAGATCATCTAGTTATTATCAATAACTGCTGTTTAATGAGAGTTCATTTGTCCAAATCGGCCACAATGTTTCCTACATTTTCTCTGTGACCGCACTTCAAATCATACTTTGTCTCAGGAATACCTGGTAGTTATGAAAAGGTTCTTTAGTAATCCTTCTGTTTTGTCTTAAAGGCATTTTAAAAGAATAAGCAATAGGAGCAGAGTAGACCACGTGGCATTGAGTCAGCTCTACTATTCAATAATATTAAGGCTAATGTTCAACCTCAACATTATCCCGTACTCTCCCTCTTTTCTGTCCATTTTTCCGTTGATTTTGGTTTTAAATGTGCTCAATTGACTGAACATTCACAGACTTACCAGAGAATTCCAAAGATTTGCAATGTTAGTCCTAAATAGCAAATTCCTTACATGTAGGCAATGATTCTCAGTTCTCCAATCAAAGGAAACAGCTTCTTTGTATCTACTGTCAAGTTCTTCAAGAATTTTATACACTTTCCCTCTAGGGAAAATAAATCTGGGAAGACGACCAGAAGCATACACAGCTCTGTAGGTGTGGTCTCAAAACCATTAGCTACTTATGAGTAGGCCATTTGGCCGTTCCAGCCTGCTCTACCATTCAACAAGATCATAGCCGGTTTGGCTGTGGTCTCAGCACTACTTTCCTTACTGACACCCTTGACCATCAAAATTCCAAATCAGAAACAAAAACAGAAATTGCTGGAGAAATTCAGCAGGTCTGGCAGTATCTGTGGAGAGAAATCAGAGATAATGTTTCGGGTCCAGTGACCCTTCCTCAGAAACGTCTATATCACTCCGGCCTGAAAAAATTTAAAGACTCTACCACTAAATATAGGTTGCTTACAGGTAGACTACACACTCTCATTAAAAGTTATTATTCTTTTGTGTAAACTCAATCTTCAATCATATTAAAATCACATGGGCAGTATGGTGGCTCAGTGGTTAGCACTGCTGCCTCACAGCGCCAGGGACCCCGATTCAATTCCACTCTTGGGCGACTGTCTGTGTGGAGTTTGCACATTCTCCCTGCGTCTGCATGGGTTTCCTCCCACAGTCCAAAGACGTGCAGGGGAGGTGGATTGGCGACGCTAAATTGCCCATAGTGCCCAGGGATGTTTAGGTTAGGTGGGTTAGACATGGGAAATGCAGGGGTAGGGGAATGGGTCTGGATGGGATCCTCTTCGGAGGGACAGTGTGCACTTGTTGGGCTGAATGGCCTGTTTCCACACTGGAGGGATTCTATGATTCAAAAGACACCAGGTTTCCAATTGTAAATGCACTATGGAATATTTTATAATGCAAGAAAATGATATTCCAAAATATTGTCCAATTGTAGTGCTTCGTTATGAACTTTACATTCTGTAATATGGCAGACAGGTTTGGGTGTAACTGGAGCAAACAATTTAATTAAGAAAACTAGCCTAACTTTGAGCGCAACATGAATCTGGATGCCAGTTGCATGTAAAGAAGAATTTCTACTCCAAAGTGCTTAAATTTTTTTTCTAATAAATTTTTCCACTATAATATTCTTCCTGTCTTTAGTACATACCAAATAGTTTGAAGAAAGCTGCCATTTCTTGCCGCTGAATAATTAGACAAGGCCCTCTCGTATGCTTGGATTTTGAAATAACATCAGTATTCTTTCTGTGCGTTTTCTGAGCTTTTGGTACACATGATTGCTTTAACTTTGTTCTTTTCCTTTGTTGATTTGATCTTGTTCCCACGGGTTTCATCCGGACAGTAATTGAAGGTGGAGTCTGGCAGTATAATTGGTTGTTCCTCATAACGTCCTAAAACTAAACCATATACAATATGAAGAGTTATTAGTATAAGGATCAATTAGCTGACTAACAACATGACTCCCAATTAATGACATGAGAATTTATATACAGCAAGGCTACATTCTCAGTCAAGTTGCCAAATGGAATAGCTGGAGGTAGATACTTTCTAATCAATCTGTTCAGAAACATCATGTATATGAAATGAACAGCCAGAGGAAGTAGTAGAGGCAGGTGCATTTACAACATTTAAAAGACATTCTGACAGGTACGTGGACAGGAAAGGTTTAGAGGGATATGGACCAAATACAGGCAAACAGGGCTTGTTCAGTTTAGGAAACCTGGTCAGCATACATGAGTTAGGCCAAAGGTCCTGTTTCTGTGCTGTATGACTTCATGAGTCTCTGGAGTGAGTGCGACTCAAACCTAGGCCTCTGCTTCAAGGGGTAGTATTGGCCTCAAGAGACCATTAGCAGAAGGTATACTTTTGTTTTAAAAATCTAACTGGTCCAGATGTGTTATGATGCCCCTCTGGAGTTGCAGGTTCAAGTCCCACCTGCTTCAGAGATGTGTAATAATGTCACTGAGCAGGTTGATTAGAAAATGGGTTAAAAATCTAAAAAGGAGCCAGAAGGCCTGGGTTCAAATCTTCCCTGCTCCAGAGTGTGTAATAATTTAATTAGAAAATAACTAAAAAGGGAGGCAATTATATAAACATCTTGCAGTTAAAAATAATTTAAATCTGAATGACTAAAATGCGAAGCATTTTGCTTTTTTTTCCCCTCTTGTGCATTCATCACGGCAAATGCAAGAATGTCAAATTTCAAACAATCACACCAAAAGTGCTGACTGGTTAATAACTGACTCTGATTGGCCAAGGTGTTACAATGGAGAAAGCAACTGTGAACCATAGACTTCCCAAGGTCCCAGGTGAAATAACTCTACAGAGGCCAGCATCCCGTCACTAAGTCACTCTTTATTTACATGTGAGAGTCCTTGCCATTGATCCAGTTCCCTCTGAGCCAGCTCTCAGAGTGAACAAGATGTCAGACACTCCTCTTCTTACCTGTCAGCCAGGGCTTCCAGATTAACAGCTCCAATCAGGGAATTCATATTCTATGAGGTCCACCTGGCTGACATCGTTACAATCACTACACCCCTCCCGCTCCGAGTCCAAGGACATAGGCCAGATCTTTACTCTGTAGCTACTCCTGGGGCATTTTAGCACTGGGTCAGGTTCCTCCAACTCTGTCTCTGGGCAGTAAGTGCACAGTAGCTTGCCTCTTGTGCCTGGAGCATCGCGGAAGAAATTTATTCTCTTCTTCAGGCAGCAAAGGCGTTGAGGCGGCAACATCTGCCATGTCCATCTCAGATTCAGAGGTATTTTCAACGCTTGACAGAGAGGGAAAACCCATGGGTTCCAGAACAGTCGGAAAGGCTGTCAAGGAGCTGGGCACATTTTGCTCCCATACCACTTGCGAGATTGCAGCTTTCATATGGTCCACGTGCTTGTTCAGGACCGTTGCACCCACCCGAACTTTATGTATCACTAGTCTTGACCTCGCATTGACCATGCACCTAATCATTCAGGGCCATTCTTGTGGTTTCTACACAAAACTTCTGCACCCTGAAGTAACTGTCTCTATTGCTTAGCAGAGGCTTTGGTCTGCATTGACATTCCTGATGCCATTTCACTCTCCCTATCCCCCAAGGTCCAGGAAGATCAGATTTAACCAGTTGCAGAGTCTTCTCCCCATTAGCAACTCTTCTGGCGCTATCCCTGTAGTTACATGAGGGGTGGTCCTATAATCAAATAGGAACCAGGACAGTTTGGTATCTGGTGAAGCTCAATGCTGTTTCTTTAAGCCTGCCTTCAAAGTTTGGACTGCTTTCTGTATGACCATTGGAGACGATGGAAGGTATGGAGTTGTCTTTATATGTTAAATATCTTTCGACTTTAGGAAATACTCGAATTTCCTGCTGGTAAATGATGGCCCGTTGTCTGTGGCCAACACTTCCAGGAGTCTGTGTATTGCAAAAGATGTGCGCAGTTTTTCTATTGTCGTCCCCAAATTTGAAGAATAAATTCCGTGCATATCCAGCCATTTTAAGTGGGTATCCACAATGACTAAGAATATTGAGCTCTGTTTTGCCGACTCTGTAGCTCAAGTAGGTCACTCGGGGTGTCTGGAACACATTTTTTCTTTCTAAGTCATATGTCTGCCTGGAAGTAACATCTAAGAACGATGTCCAGGTTCTCTAAGTGCTCCTTATTTGCCTTCCCTGTTAAAAGATAAATGTGACCTGGGGTAGACCTTGTAAAATGTTCTCTGAATGTTCTGCTGAAAAATTGCACAGCCTGACTGACACCCCAAATGGCAGTCTTGTATATTAGTATAAATGCTTATGGGTATTCACTGTAACATACATCTAACCACATTTGCTTGTACAAATGGATCATGTCCTGCTTCATGAAGGACAGCCCCCGCCAGCTTTGTATATAAATCTATGAGGGATTGAATTTTTATCCTGGTGCAAAAAGCTGTTTACTATTTGTTTAAATTCCCACAAAGGTGAACTAACCCAGCAGGCTTCACAATCAGTACGACCAGTGCTGCCCTCCCACAATTCCTTTGCTTTCCAGCCTTCTGATTTCTGCCTCTACTTTTGCCTGTAAGGCAAATTGCACTGGCCAGGCCTTGTAGAGCCTTGGAATTGGTTCCTGGTCAACATGCAAGGCGGCCTTATCACCTTTGAAAGTCCCTAGACCTTTCTGAAAACCTCTGGGTATTTAATTAGGACTTCACTAGGCAGCCATTTTCTAATTGAAAGATGTTGAGCCAATCTAGGTGAATCTTTCTCAACCAATTTTGCCCCATTAAGCTTGGGCCTAAGCAATGGTAACTGAACCAGCTGCTTCTCTTAAGACACTGGAACCAAAGTTGTACCCGTAATCTGTAAATGTTCCATGGTATTGGTTCTCAGTCTAGCCGAGGTATTGCACAAACTTAAAGGTAGGAGTCCAGAGTGAATTTTGTTGAAGACTGGCTCTGCGATCATTGAAATGGCTACGCTGGTATTGACCTCTGTCGGAACCAGGTGACTATTTAACCAGAGGTTCATTTTGATTGGGTCTGATTTGGATGTAGCTAAGCAATTTAACAGTTCCAAACCACATGTAGGTGGACTTCACAGGGTGTGCACTCTTCTGAATACCGGCCTATAAGTTCTTTTACTCAATTTAGGTCTAGTGGCACTCTTGTGCTGTCTAGAGTCCAGATAACGGCAGCAATTGCAATGGCTTGCCAGCCTGGAACATGAAGAAAATTTTAACTGTTTGGCCTAGGCTTGGCTTTGTTTTCAGATTTGCTGTGGACTGACCTAGAGTCCCTCTGCTCTATATCCTGAGTGAGGCTATGCAAATTCCTTCCCCGAAGTGGCATTCCCCAAGGTCAGTCGGACTGGCGAGGGTGTTCACTTTCTGTAATTCATATGCTCCACCTGCTACATTTTCCAATGTGGAAGTCAGTTATAGTGCCTCTTCGAAGTCCAGGTGGACTTCAGCTAGTAAGTGTTTTTGCATGGTTCCATCATTAATCCCACATACCAAATAGTCTCCCAGCATCTCATTAAGGGTTAACCTAAAGTCACATGTGCCATCAGGTGTGTTAACCTAGTCAAAAATCCTGATATGGATTCCCCAGTTCTTGAATTGCCAAGTAAAACCAACAGCGTCTCAGAATTAGAGGAGGCTTGGGGTGGTAATATTCCTTAACTAAATTCATCAACTCTTCAAAGATTTTAGTATCTGGTACCTCAGGGAATGTCAGGCTCCTAATAAGCGAAAAGGCTGCAGATTCACAAGCTGTCAGGAGAATTACTCAATGCATTTCATCAGCCCCAATGTCATTTTCCCAGATGAGTTGATGTATTATTTCCATATACTGGGCCCAATCTTTGATGGCAGGATCTAATGAGTCAAACTTCCCAAATAATGGCATGATATCAAAAATGCTTACTCCATCTCAAAGATGACCACTGCGAGTGAGTTTCTTCAGGAATGTGCTTTACTTTCATTGCCATTGAAATAGCTGCAGAGGCCAGGTTACTTTATTTACATGTGGAGTCCTCAACACTGATTCAGTTTCCTCTGAGCCAGCTCTCAGTCTGAACAGGATGTCTCACAGTCCTGTTCTCATCTGTAATCCAGGGTTTCCTGATTGGGGCTATTAATCTGGTCCAATCAGGAGTCTCATAATTGAAGAGGTCCACCCAGCTGACCTCGTTACAGTCAGTACACGAGGTACTTCAAAAAAGACATGAGGACCTGTTTTCTGCAAACACAAGGGATGTTCAAGCCTTGTCCCTTTATAAAAAAACGTGGGAGTTTGGGGAGCTAGACAAGGCAAAACTTAGCTGAAAGTACAAGGACTAGGGGGCACAGACTGAACACAGGACTTAGGTAAGAGGTGGGAGGTGAAGGCACGGTGGTATTGTTAAGGCCATAAGAAGTAGGAACAGGAGTAGGCTGTTCAGTCCCTCGAGCCTGCTCCGCCATTCAGTTGGATCATAACTGATCGACATTTTTCATGTCCACCTTCTTGCCTTTCCCCAGAATCCAATCTCAGCTTTAAATATGCATAAGGACTCTACTCCCACAGCTCTCTGTGGAAATGAGTTCCAATAACTCACAACCCTCAGAGAAGAAATCTTTCCTCATCACAGTCTTAAATTCATGTCCCTTTATTCTGCAATTAGTCAATGGACTAGTATTCCAGAGACTCATGTAATGGTTTGGGGACCCAGGTTTGAATCACACCATGACAGATGTTGAAATTTCAATTTGGAAAAAAAAATTAAATTAAAAATTAAACTGAAAAACAGGTTCACCAATTCCCTTTAGGGCAGGAAATCCACCATCCTTGTCTAATCTATTTTACATGTGATTCCAGACCCATAGCAATGTGGTTGACTCTTAACTTGGTGTAGTGGTATTATCGCTGCACTGTTAATCCAGA